AGTAGAGTAGTAGAGGTTATAGAGTAGTAGAGGGAGTAAAGGTCGTAGAGTCTAAAGAGGTTAAAGCGATCGAACCGAGAAGTAAGGTTAGTAGTAAGATTATAAGTAAAGCTAGAGCTATAGTAGTATATAAGATTATACGTTAGATCGTATATAAAATTACACGTAAAGATACTCGTGAAATTAGACGTAAATAGGGTCTTAAAATAATATATAAATAGGCGATCGAGAGTATATATAAGGTAACTAAAGGAACTAGAATACTAGTCTATAGTTACGATCGTTTAGAATCTAAGGGTCGAATAGTAAGACTACGATCGATAACTAATACTAAGCGTTAGTCGATATAGTAAGGGTATACTATATAACGATAGTACCCTATCTAACGCGTAGGGCTCGTATATACCGTCGGAGATCGTTTATAAAGATAAACGAGAAGCGCGTCGGAAACACTAAACCCTAACGAAGCCTAATTTATATATATATTAATAGAATAACAATATAAATATAGACGAGAATAAGAAAGAGAAGGAAAAGAAAAAGAAAGAAGAAGAAGAAAGAAGAAGAAGAAACCTCTAACTACTAACTTCGTTACCTATAAGATAATATCCTTATCGTTATCCTAGTAGAGTATAGGTATAGTAGTAGTATTAAAGCTCCGTACCCTCTTATCGACGTCCTCTATACGACTATATCCCTATTAGTAATCGATAAAGAGCCTTATATTAGCGTATATAGGATCGTCGTAATCGTCGGGATAGTAGACGAGATCTAAACTAGCGGGTAGGTATTTAGGGTCGAAGGGTCTAATAGCGAGTATATTATCCCTATAGACGATAACTATTATATAAAAGATATTCTAGTAGTCGATTCTTATTATCTCGAATACGATCTCTCTATAATCGTACTCGCCGCCGCTATCGACCTATACGTTAAACGTAGTACCGAAGTAACCTCTCTCTAACTCTAATACCTTACTACTCGGCTAGTCGTACTACTCCTCGAGTTAAGACTTATAGGCTACTATTGTCGCCGTAGTATACTCTCTACCGATACGGACGGCCGACCTAACGAAATCGCGATCGATATACTTCTTCGCTATCGTCGATACTATAGAGGCCGTAAAAGTCGTAGAGGCTATAAAATAGGTAGAGCCTATAGAAGACGTAGAGCCTATAGAAGACGTAGAGGCTAAGGAGATCGTAGAGGCTATAGGAGACGTCGAGGCTATAGAAGTCGTAGAGGCCGTAGAAGTCGTAGAGGCTATAAAAGTCGTCGAGGCATTAGAAGTCGTAGAGGTATTAGAGGTAATAATCGCTCCGGAGGTCGTAGAGACTCGAGAGGTAATAATCGTACTAGAATTCGTAGAGTCCGTAGAGGTTACGGCGCCGTTAGGAGTAGTAACTACGTACGAGCCTAAAGACATTTCGGAGAATCGAGAGTATAGAGATACTTAAGAGGTTAGTAAGTATATAGTAACTCTAGAGCTCGTAGAACTTATAGATACTATATATACTATAGAGGTTATAGATAATATCGAGGTTATAGGGGTTATAGAGGCTATAGAGGCTATAGAGGCTATAGGGGCCGTAGAGGTTATAGAGGTCGTAGAGGTCGTAGAGGTTATAGAGGTAGAGCCTAGAGCCGATACTATAAGGAAGCTTCTAAGCTTACTTATAAGTAAGCTTAGAAGTAAGGTTAGAAGTAAGGTTATATATAATACTATATATAAGTATATAGGTAAGCCTATACGTAAGCTTATAAGTAAGGCTCGTAATAATACCCGATTATCGGTAGTAGTAAGGTCGAAAGTAAGGATTAAGGTATAGTAGTAGTAACGTTACTAGTATCTAGCCCGAGGGATAATAGTAGTAATAGTATAATCGAATATTAAGATTTAGTAGTAGTAAGATAATAAGTAAAGCCCGAGGTATAGTAGGATATAAGTTTATATAGGTAATCGTATGTAAATAGGCCGATAAGAGTACCCTCGATACTACCGTAGACCCGACGAAAGTTAACACACGAATTCGCTAAGGTAAAAACTATAGAGATCTATAACCGGGACGGGATAGGAGAACCCTAAACGCTAACCTCGTCGTTATCGAAATAGGAAGAGGAAGATAAGGATATAAGTTAAGAGAGAAAACTTACGGCCCCTTATAGGTTATAGCGACGGCTTCTAGCGAACATAGAAATATATGCTAGTTCCGTAGCTACTAGAAGTCGTAAGTATTATCGTATAAATATACCCTCTCGTCGACGTCCTCTATATAACCCCTATCGAATTACTAATTAATAAAGTCCCTTATATAGGTATATACGGGATTATTCCGATCGTTAGGGCGGTAGATTAGATCTAAACCGATAGGAAGGTATATATAGTCGAAGGGAAATATAAGATCGTATAAGCTTACGATAAGTATAATATAATATACGTTCTAGTAGTCGACTCTTATTATCTCGAATACGACCCTACTATAATCGATCTCGCCGCCGTCGTCGACCTATACGTTAAACGCGGTACTAAAGTAACCCCTCTCCGACTCTACTACTTTACTACCTACCTAATCGTACTACTCCTTAAGCTAAATTTTATAGGACGCTATCGTTACCGTAGTACGCTCTCTATCGAGATAGGAACCCTAATCGACGAAGTCGAAGTCGATCTTCTTCGACGCTACTATCGGTATCTTCGGTCTCGTAGAGGTCGTAGAGGATATAGAGGCTATAGATACTATAGATATAATAAAGGCTAGAGAACCCGTAGACTTTATAGATATAGGAGAGGCTAGAGAGCTATCGGCGGTTAGTAATCGTATAGTAGTTATAGAGGTAAGAGAGCTTATAGGAGTTATAGAGGCCGAAAAGGTTATAGAGGATAA